TGGTTACTGGACAATTTTCACCATTAACTTAAGCCTCGTATAGATTTATGGTGTCAGTTGAGTTTAGTTAATAATGCAGTGAACATTTTTTTTATTAAAATATATATAGAATAGCATATAAAGCAACTTAATAAATTTTAAAAATTACACCTTTGTTTTGTTAAACCAATAATTTAATATAATCATGATAATAGAACTTCCATAGTAATCCTGTGATAAACTTTTAAAAAAGGAAATGTGTTCCAAAGTTACAGTAAAAATTTATTTCAATTAAATATAAATAATTTTTGTCAAAATTAAAGACATGGCATACAAGAAGCACTTTAATAAGGTTTAATTACCTCAGTACATGTGTGTTTTACAGGTAAAATGAAAGCCCCATTTTTCTTAAACTCGTGTATTACTTATCTAGTGAATTCAAAAGGCCTTGCGATTTAAGTTTCACAGGATGTTGCAATTTTGAATGAGTGTTATTTAGAAATTAATACTCTCTGACCAGGTGTGATCTTTTTCATGAGTTTGCCCCAAGCAGGAGGTATTACTTTATACTTCACCACTAATCAGAAGAACAATTTTATTAATTTCTTTAATTTTTATCCCTTTTTGATATATATTGTATATAATATATCCCAAATTATAATAATAGATATATTTCTAAAATAAGGTTAAACAATTTCAGTGATTTTGTTGGCTGTTGTTACCTCATTAAAAGATAATTATATTGTACATTTTTTGTATGTAACCATGAAACCTATGTAGTTTTTATTTAGGAATTTAGGAAAATTAATTTAAAAAAAAAAAATCACATGCCAAACAAGAAGCACCTTAATAAGGTTTAATTACCCTCAATATAGGTGTGGTTTTTAGGTAAAAGAATTTTTTTTTTTAACAAAACTCTAAAACTTTAAAATTGATATAATTAAATTATTATATAAGATAATTTGATTTAACTATCTTTATTCGATAAATCTGAGAATCATGTAAGAATGTAAAAATCTGTTTTTATAACATATCTTTATTTTATTGTGGCTGTTGTCATGTCAGTTAAAAAGAAATTTATTTTAACAGTTTAAATTTAGAAACACTAGAGGTTATTTGGTCCAGTATGGTTCAGACTGGTCGAGTATTGTTCAGACCTTTGGTCGAGTATGGTTTAGACTGAAAAAACAGGTCGAGTACAGGTCGAGAATGGGTTAAGACTGTTTCAGACTGGTCGAGTAATAGTTCAGACTATTTTCAATGGCAAAGATAAGGGTCAAGTACAAATCAGTACAGTCGAGTATGGTTAAGACTGGGGTCGAGTAATGTCGAGTAAAATTCAGACCAATTCAGACTGGTCGAGTAAAAATCAGTACAGTCGAGTACAGATATAGGCCATTTCAGACTTTTACTGGTTTGTAGTGATATACACATTCATGGATCTACTATCTGTCGATACCTGTATCTTGGCATTGCACAAGGTCATGTTTTTCTCTGACTGTTTATGACGTCTTTACACTAAATCCATTGGATGTAGGATGTGAACTGATTGATAATTTAGTCTAAGATGCATGATTTTTTTTATTAGTTGTTAGTGGCTTTGAACTAGCTATCAGTAACTGCGAGTACTCTCAGTTCTGTACTAAGCGTCTTTTTGTTGTTGGGATATACAAGTACCCACGTCCACTCTGTGATGTATTTCTATTTATATCCATCTGATGAGTTAAGCCTTTTTCAACTGATTTTTATAGTTTGTTCTAATGTTGTACTGTTTCACCACTGTCCCAGGTTAGAGGGAGGGTTTGGATCCCGCTAACATTTTTAACCCCGCCACATTATGTATGTATGTGCCTGCCCCAAGTCAGGAGCCTGTAATTCAGTGGTTGTCGTTTGTTAATGTGTTACATATTTGTTTTTTTTCGTTCATTTTTTGTACATAAATTAGGCCGTTAGTTTTCTCGTTTGAATTGTTTTACATTTGTCATTTCGGGCCTTTTATAGCTGACTATGCGGTATGGGCTTTGTTCATTGTTGAAGGCCGTACGGTGACCTATAGTTGTTAATTTCTGTGTCATTTGGTCTCTTGTGGAGAGTTGTCTCATTGGCAATCATACCATAATCTTCTTTTTTATATATCCAATATCATTTGTGAAACGGATATTCCATAACATTCAACCAACTCATGATGGCGTCCGTAAAGTTTACGAAGGGATGATTTCAATTTCACCATTTGGAACTCTTGGTTTAATAGGTTCCTTGTGAGCATCAACCCTCTATCCAGGAAATCGTGATAAGAAATACAAGCCCGAGAATATCGTATTAATTGGGAATGTTGCTACATACAAATGGAAAGTTCACAATTGGGTAAGTTGAAATCATCTCTTTTGTCGTGAAGTTTTGTTTTCAACCGACCCTAATTGTCAATTTCTAGATGCAAGTCAAGATATGAGGCAGACTTAACTGTATCTGTTGTATCCTTTATCTCTAGTTCGGTGGGATAGATGCATTCAACATAGTCACCAAATTTTGAATTATTTAGTGAGAGACCATCATCTATATAGCGGAAAGTAAAGTCATAGGATATTGCTAACTTATTTTCTTTCTTCCTAAGAGGTTCCTGTATGAAGTCAGCCTCATAAGAATATAGGAACCCGTAGGCAAGAAGGAGGCACAATTAGTTCCCTCGGTCGAATTACAAATCACAAACTTTCAGGTTACCCAAGGTCACCTCTGTAGAACTGAACATGGTCAGATTACCTCAGGTCACCTCTGTATTACTGTGCATGGTTATGTTAACCCAGGCCAGCTTTACAAAACACTAATATTTTCAGGTTAACTCAGGTCACCACTGTTTACTGTACATGGTCAGGTTATCTCAGGTCACTGCTACAATACTCTACATGGTCATATGTTAATCTAGGTCAGCTTTACAAAACAGAAATATTTCCAGGTTACCCCAGATCATCTCTGTATTACTGTACATAGTCAGGTTACCTCAGGTCACCACTACAATACTGTACGTGGTTATGTGACCCCAGGTCAGCTTTACAAAACAGAAATATTTTCAGGTTACCTCAGGTCACCTCTATTTGCTGTACATGGTCAGGTTATCTCAGATCACCATTGCAATACTTTACATGGTCAGGTAACATCAGGTCACCATTGCAATACTGTAAATGATCAGGTTACCTCAGGTCACCATTGCAATACTGTACATAGCCATGTAACCCGAAGTCACATTTACAATACACTTGTATATTAAGATTACCTGAGGTCAACACTGCAAAAACATACATTTGCATGGTCAGGTTACCTAATGTCACTTTTACGAAAAATAAACATAGTATCTGTAATACAATATTTGATCATGTTACCCCATTTTACTTTTGCAATGCAAAACTAGACCAGGTTCCTTAGGTCAGCTTTACTATATCATTGCTATTCGGGTTACCACAGGCCTCATTTGCAATTACAGTACATGGTCAGTTTATTCAAAGGTCACCTTTTAGAACAAAAAAAAAAACAGCTTTATAAAACAAATATTTCAGGTTACCTCAGGTCACGATTGTATTACTGTATATGGTAAGGTTACCTCAGGACACCACTGTATTACTGTACAGTCATAATACCCTAGGCCAGCATTACAAAACACAAATATTTTCAGGTTATCCCAGGTCAGCATTGTATTACTGTGCATGGTCAGGTTACCTCAGGTCACCCATTGGTCGATTCAGACCCTCCCCCCACCACCGCCACCCCCTTTCGTTGGAAAATTGTGGTTGCTTATATCGGGAATCACTAAAGCATGACTGTAGTGGGCCTATTAAGGCAGTCAGTAGCCCCCCTTATCCCCTTTATAAAAAGTTCTGGATCCGCTACTGTCACAACTCTATTACTGTGCATGGTCAGGTTACCTCAGGTCACCATTGCATTACCTAAACGGTCAGGTCATTTTAACAATTTTATTTTTCCTGAAAATCCTATTTAATTTTACCATCCACCTCCAGTCAACACGCACACAGAAGATAAATGATCGGTGCCTTAGGTATGAAAATAATTAAATCGCCTGGCAATTTGGTTAACAGCTTTGGTATTTAGTCACATTAAAATTCGGTATTTTCACTTCTTCAAAGGAAGTTGTTATTTCACAACAGCATTCATAAATGAAGAAATTTGTCTATCCTGTTACTATGGTTATAGTAACAGGATAGACAATATTTGACAGAAATGTCTTTAAAAAGTTATAATTACATATAGTTGAACACATAATGAATTGTTTCGTTGTTTGAACTCATCTAAACGTTATAAAGTGTTAATCTTCGCCATTTAGCATTTCCAGATGCAATACTGCTATCGGTAACAGGATAGACAAAAAGGGTAACAGTATTGAACTTAATATGGTGATATATCATTAACGTACGTTCCTGTTACCAATAAAATAAAGATAAAAGTAAACCAACATGCGAGGGAATTACACTTGATATTGGGTTAATTAGAAAAAGAAAAAATGCTGAACATTATGAATTGCTATCTTAGACTTGCATTACTGGTGGTTATTTTTTTAACCCTTGAAAACCAATTTTTAGAGGCATTTTTCAGTACAATATGGAAAATTGACTAATATATCATTTAACAGAATGAAAATACATAGAAGTGTTTACTCTTGAAAACCATATTATTGGCTATGAAAAACAAGCTAAAAATTTTGTCGAAACCTTTTCAAAATGACCCGAAATTTCTTTTGAACATGGTAACAGGAGCGACAAAATGTTGCACCACCTATCAAAAAGTGTTTCAATATATTCGGACGACGACGCCAACGTCATACCAATATACGACCGCAAAATTTTTTTGCGGTCATATAAAAAGTTTACTATGAGGACAAAGGACAATGCCAGACAACGAGGATGGACACCTAGTGTGGCAATAGCTCACCTGGCCGTCTGGTATAAAATGATATCCTTCTTTTGGTCACATTTTAGAAGCTTTTGTCATAAAAACATTTGAATAATTAACAAAACTTTGAATTCCATTATATGATATACAATTAGTGTCATTTAAGCATTATTATATTTATATGGACACAAGAAAATGCTATAAAGTTTTTTAAAAAAACACAATATAAGAATACTGTGCATCTTTCTAATTTTTAAGCATTTATTGATTACCAATGTCTCTATTTAAAGCTTCATATTCTTGTTCTAAATTTTTTTCAAAATTGTTATCTTGTGTTGAGCTAAATTCAGGATGCTGTATCCTTTCTTGTCCAAACAATAAACCATTTTCATGTTCAGATGATCTGACCTGCTGATCTAAATTTTGGTTTAATTGCTCCGATGGAATACTAGTCCTGATATTTCGATAACTATCTAGATTTGGTTGATTTAAAAAATCAACATTTAATGCCTCATATTCTTGTTCACAATTTTTCTCAACATTTTCTCCCACATCTGATGTAGGTTGACCCAGTACATGCCCACCAGAAATCAAAAGACGGTCCAGAGATGACTGTTGATCTTCTTCAACAACAAAATGCCCTGTAGAATTAGGCCTGAAAAATTTATCGGTTGGGTTTTCATGATGGTCTTCTACTATTCCTGTATTCCTTAAACTGATATTCTGATCTGTACTCTTTGAATGTGCCTGTATATTGTGTCCTTGTGAAAGTGGTGTGTCATCATTAGAAGGTACATTGTTCGCAGATACTGATGTTTTTTTTTCATCTGGATCCTTCACACTTTCGTCATTTTTAGAATCACCACTCAAATGAATATGGACTTCTTTAACCATACTAAATTTATATTCAGATCGGTTTAAATTATTAATCATTGTTTTATTTCCTCCCTCTGCTCCTCTTGGGGAGCTTTCATCTACTTCTTCATTGTTCAATTGGCTGTTAATAGAGCTGTCACTTGAATCTATATTCAGCTGCTTGTGCTTATAACCTGTAGGCATTTCTTGTGGATTCTTATCTGTTTGTTGTGTTCTGAAAATAAATGTTGAATAAGTTTTCTATTACCTGCAGTTTATCTTTCTTTTAATGGTCCCACCAATTGCACATATTCATAATAAATTAGTTAAACCCACACCCTTTTTACAAACAAACAAACAATTTTGTTCTTTAATCATTCTTTATCATTTTAATAAAGACATCTGACATAGTTAGCTAGAAATACCTTCTGTAAATTTAGGCATCCAAAACATTCCTATACCTCAAAAGTGAACATCCACTTTAAAAGAACCACACACCCCATTAGTTTAACACCCCCAAAAATTGGTTCCAAATGAGACAACATTGTTTTTGTCAGATTCATGACTTATTTACTACTCATACCAATGGGATGCTGGAAGATACATTTTTTTATAGTTTGTTCTCATGTTGTGCTGTTACACTACTGTCCTAGGTTTTGAACTACTAGAAATAAAAAATACCAAGTAAAGTATTTGTGAATGAACTCACAATGAGCAACCCTTGCCCCACAATACTATTTGTATAGTTAACATGATTAAGTCTGTAAAATTTAAAAAAATAAAAAAGGTAGCAAAAACAAGCTGTCCCTTTTAACATGTAGGACAGGGATACTTTAACTTTATGCAAATCCTCAGGTAGAGTTCTACTACTGTGTGAAGTTTTATCAATATCTGTTTAGTTGTTTAGGAGAAATTGTGCCTTTGAGAGACTATAACCACATATAACAATATTGAGGTAAATAAATTCTATCATCTCCCCTTTAATATGTACAAAAAGGATAATATTCCTTCATGCACATACAGGTAGTTATCAATAACTGTGTAAAGTTTCAATAAAAGAAATCTAACTGTTTAGAAGTTGTGCTATGAGATACTATTATCACATATTACCTTAATGAGGTATCTCCCCTCTTGCATGTTTGAACAGGAATATATTCCTTTATGCACATCATCAGATAGTATTCTGCAACTGTGTAAAGTTTCATCAAAATCTGTCTAGTTGTTTAGGGGAGTTCAGATTATAAGGCACACATGGGAAGACCAACGAACAGACAAAAAGTGATTCCTATAACATTTCCCCCACCCCAAAAAAATATTTAGCAACTTCATCATTTGCAGAGATATATTAACGTTAGGCATGGATATGTAAAAATCTTCTAAAGATAGATGTCGTCACCTTACCTGGGAAATGACTGCTCTCTTGCTGAATCTGAATTCGAACTGTCAGGGTTACTGGTCTGTGTCTCAATTGATGTTTGATTTGGACGCTCATTATATACACCTAAAAAAAAAGTAAAAACAAGGGTACATACTGAAATGTTCAGCCTGCTTTACTTATTATGACATTTTTATGTTAAAAGTCTCTGAGACTGAGGTTTCACTACAGGTATCATAAACATATACCATTATCAACCATCCATAAAAATGATTGTCAATGTCAGGAGAACCCTGTCATATGTACACCTTCAAATCATTCTTTTGACCATAACTGACCTTTTACTAAACAGTATCTGAGAAATCAATTTAATCACATAAAAAAATTATGAGTCTTCCACGACAGAAACATGGAAGTTGGTGACCCAGACTTAGTTAACTGGCTTTACTGATCATGATTAAATTTATGTTGAAAGTCTTTTAGATAAATGTTTTAATATAAGTATTACATAAACTTAATATTACCAATGAACATGAAAATAAGGTCAATGTCAGATGAATCATGCCAGACGGATATGTACACCATGCTATCATTCCATACACAACATATAGTTGACATACTGCTTCAAGAATGAACCCTGCCAGACAGACATGTACACCATACAATCAATCAATACACCAAATATAAACGACCAATTGCTTAAAGTTTGGACTATGCCAGACAGACATGTACTCCATACAATCATTTACACACCAAATATAGTTGACATTTTGCTTAGTTTGAACCCTGCTAAATGGACAGGTACATCATACTGTAACGTGTAACCGGGCGGGGGCGTTTTAATATTTTTATCCTCGGGTTCATACCAGTTTCCTGGGATTTGAAGAGCAATGCAAAAATTCTAAAGTCAAGCAGTTTACCCTATACTACCAAATATAAAACAAATACTACATAAAATGAATTTCAACACCTAACAACCTTACCCGAACCTGTTAAGTTAAAACTGTTTAAAACCCTTTCAGTCTGATACTTGTTAAAACCAAATATATGAAACAAATTTGAACTACCGGTATGTAAACTTTCGTATGAAACCTTATTAAAAAAATATGTCTATAACTGTCTGAACAACAGGCTAGCACTAAGGCATGGTTTATCAGCAAACACTCACTGCAATAGTGAGAGATATGAAATGCAAAACCTTAGCACCAGCCGTGTTTGGACAAGTTGTACCGAACCAACAGTCTCAGCCTATCTATATCCTGTCAGCAGGCTTCTAACACTTCACTTTTTAACTAATCCTGCTGCTTGCTTCAAACTATTTCCTTTCCAACCTTTCTGATCTGCTTCGTTCAATGTCTTTGGTACAAATGACCAAATTACTGAGAAGCTACCCACTATTTATACTAAGAATATACTAAGAATGCCGACCTCGAAGAGAGCACCTAACAACAACTGTACAGGTAAAGCATCTTATAGCAACTACGGGTAAAGTTAATGAATTTCGATGCCGTTTTCAACGATAAGAAGATCAAATGGGTAAATTCCGAGAGAAATAGGAAAATACATAACTGAAGAAATATTATAATATTCATAAACTGTAAATTTGTAACAATACAATCATCCCATAGACCTAATATAGTTGACCTATTGCTAAAACTTTGCAATAAACAATGAAAATGAGGTCATGGTCAGAGGAACCCTCCCAGATGGACATTACACCTTACAATCATCCTTTACACCAAATATAATTGACCTATTGCTTAAAGTATCTCAGATGAGGATGTGACCACAAAAATTTAACCTTGATCACTGATCAATAAAATTAAATCAAGGTCCGGTCTACCCTGTCTAAGGGACATGAAGACCTTGCAAGGATTCAATATACCAAATATAATTATCCTAATGCTCTTAATATGTGTAAATTCATGTGGCAAAAAAACCTATTCTGTTATTTTAAGTAGTTTCTTAAACATGAAAATGAGGTCAAGGACAATGCAAGACAGAAACTTCAGAACATAAGGCATTTTTATACAAGGCATCAAGCACCAAGTTCTTCTACCTTCTGAAATGTAAAACTTTATACAAAAAGTTTACACTGCCTGCCTCTGCACTAATATCATCTGTATTCATTGCATTCTGTGACTCTTATTACAGACGAGATAATAGCAAAAATAGCAAAGTTCTACACACCTAAGAAATTTAAATCTGTCCACAATAAAAATTGAATATCTTCAATCTGAGTGCAAACTATAGAGTTCAATGACAAAACTTACTGAAGTCAACATGTGAAAAAAATGAGAAAAATTAATTCAGATATGTGAAAAATAGGATATCCACATCTCTGATCTGTGTTCAATTACTGTGCAAAGTTTGATAATGAAGAAGGACAACTGTTAGAGTTAAAGATAACACAAAAGGTTAGTGTACCACTTATGCATTTCAGACAGAACAAACAACTAAGTTCCACATATTGGAAACATGAGAAACAAAATAGATAAAGTCTGCCTAAATTACCGGTAGGGTCATTCTGGTAGAGATAAGTGATAAATTTGGAATAATGTTGAAGGAAAACTTTTGGAATTACACATGACACATACTAGGTACCTTCTATAGTATGTCAAAACTGACTATGTTCCACAAATGAAGAACCTGAGAAAAATCAATAAAATCTGTCAAAAATAAAAAGTGCACATCTTCAATCTGAATGTAATCAGTGTACAAAGTTAGAATTATGTTGAAAGAAAACTGCGGGAGTTACAAATGACACAAACATGGCACCCTCTATGTGTTGGGAATAAATGGACGGAGTTTCCCAGTTACCTGTCTTGCCTCTTGCAATGCAGGAAAAAAAGACATTTCTATGCACTCCTGAACACTCCTGAATGAAAAAGAAAATAAATGTGGATAGTGTCCACATGTGGACACAGATGATGCCCCCACTTGCATATCATATAGTTATAAAGGGACATAACTGAAGAACGGTAAAAGTGACGCTACCCAAATTTGAATTTGATCTGAGTTTTGTGGTAATAAGCATTGTGTGTAAGTCTCATAACATTTGGTTGAGGCTAACTTAAGTGGAGAACAGAAACTAAAAATTCAGCAATTTTTCTATTTGTAAACACGCATAACTCTAGAACGGTTGTGTATAAGTTTTATAACGTTTGATTGAGGCAAACTAAATTTAGAAAACTGAAACAAAAAATTTGTACTTGATCTTAGTTTTGAGGTAATGAATATTGTGTATAGGTTTCATAATGTTTGGTTGGGGCAAACTTAAGTTACAGAATGGAAACTAAAAATTCTGCAATCTTTTGATTTATAAAGGGGCATAACTCAATAATGGTTAAATTGACACTACCCAAATCCAACTTGATCTGTGTTTTATCAGTGGAAGTCAAAATGAAACATTGCATTGTATAAAGCATTGATTGTAGTTGATTCAACTATAATCATGGACAAAGGAAGATAACTCCAATTTTAAAAATTACTTGATATTTAGAAGAAAATAAAAATTTTGCAATTTTTCCATTTCTAAAGGAGCATAACTCTAGAACAATTAAAGTGAAGCCACCAAAATTCAAACTTGATCTGTGTTTTGTGGTAATAAGCAATGTGTATAAGTTTCATAACATTTGGTTGAGGCAAACTAAAATTAGAGAACGGAAACGAAAAATTCAGCAATTTTTCCATTGTAAAGGGGCATAACTCTAGAACGGTAAATGTGACGCCACCAAAATTCAAACTTGATCTTTGTTTTGTGGTAATAAGCATTGTGTATAAGTTTCATAACATTTGGTTGAGGCAAACTAAAGTTAGAGAATGGAAACATATTTTGGGACGTACGTACAAGGGTAAAACTTAATGCCCCCACTGCTACAGCGGGGGCATAATTATCAAAATACTCAAACAAAATAGGTCAAGGGCATACCTGTAGATGTAATTCCTATTTGGATCACAATAATTAAGGAACCACTTTAGGAGACAGAATGAATGTAGCAAAACATGATCAAAATTTTTTGTGCCCAGGATGATTATCAGTTTGTATTAGAATACTGCAAGTAATTGTGTGTGTGTATGTTCATTTAAAGGGGCATTAGCTGTCAAATTCATGTTCACCAATTTGACTAAAATTTTCATATTTGATCTATAGCATACTAAAATGTATATCCAAATTACAAAATGTCTAAAATAAACAATTAACAATGCATTGACTCCATAATATGTATCAGTTCTCGTGTGTAATTTAGCCTATATGCTATCTAATTAACCATTGAGATGACCTCCGAAAACTGTCAATGGTCATATAACCTGATATAAACATACCGGTAAATGTAAATACCAAGCAAGCACGTACAATTAGATTTTTCTAGGTTTGCTTGATTTCATATTAGAGGTTAAAAAAATATGTCAATCATCGTTCTTACCTCACAGTATAAGAAAGTTTTTTTTGTGGACTGAATCAGTCAACCAAATGGTTCACCCTTGTTTCATTTTCAATGTTGACATTCTTTTCCTTGTAAGGGCATTCAGTACAGTAGCAGGGGCAGATAATAACGTTTTCAAAATGTTTCGTGTTGTTTTCGCAATGTTGTTAATAAGAACATTGTAATTTTGTGATGTTTCTCATAAGAACGTTCACATTTCGCAACTATGATTTAGATGTAGTCACATTGGTGGAAAATACACTGACGTCATAAATCCAGTTGCGCGAATTTAAAAATAAAGTACCTACTAGGAAAAGCGACAATATCACGTGAACTATTTTGTTATATTTATTCATTAATAATGAAGTCAACAGTATTATCTTGAAATGCAAAATAAAATGATTCGCTGAGCACAGCAAGATACGATTGCAGAGGTCTAACCCTGAACAGTTGGGGCAAGTTTGGACACAATATTCAAGCTTGATACTGTCTGAATTTGGATTGTGATCAAATTTTTGACATAATATAGGTTTCTGACACAAAATGAATGTGGTCAGAGATCTTAAAAATTTGAAATGGGAAATTTAATTTACCTAGAATGGTCTGATATCCAAAATCTAACAACATGGTTAGATTCAGCATATAAAAAAACACCAAAAATTTAATTTTAGTTGAAATCAAACAAAGTTTAATTTTAGA